AAAGATATATTACAACTAAAATCTTGATATTTTAGACCCCACATTTAATTGTTTCTTACTAACTGTATTTTACTTTTTAATTCTTTTTACACGTAGTCCTTGCTTACCGACCACTCATTCAGCAACCGTTCAAAGTTACAACACCGGTCCTCAAAGTTGTAGCCATTGCAGTGTCCCCGCAGTCAAGTGATCAGGATTTGGGTGCTTGGCAACCATTGCGCATTTACAATGGTTGCAGCATCCCGCGCTCATGTGATCACCATTTGTGACCTTCCCTGCCAGCTTCCGACAAGCAAAGTCAGTGGGAAAGCAAGCAGAAAGTCTCAAGTTGTGGTCATGTCACATTGTGCTTAATGACCAATGTGATTCGCTTAACAACTGCAACTGGGACTACTGTCGTAAGTTGGTGGGGTCACATGATGTCACACTTTGCAACCTCTTAGCAATGGAATTGCCGGTCCCAATTACAGTTGTTAACTGAGGACTACCTATATATGTCTTTGATCATTCATGGTTTAATTCTTTATTTCAAATGTTTAATAAAAAAAGGAGTTAGGCTTCTGCCACAAGTGTGGCTGAATAAATTTTGAATGAGTTCAGGGGCTCTGGTGACCTGCCATTTCCTGTCCCTTCCTGGGTACGGAGAGAAAATTCTGCAACAAGCGAAATTCTAGGCCTCTTACATTCCACTAATACACGCTGCAGAAGTCTATTCAGCACTGCTAAAAATGAATGCATTGGATCAAATAGCACCCTGACTTTCCCCTCAAATAACAGTGATGATTAAAGGGGAAATGATATGCTTGTACTTTTACAGTGCAACAGTAGAGAAAAGACTTGCTTTATGATCAGATCGTCATCCTAGATAGAGGCATGACATGTAACATGTCTGTGATATCCAGAAGATGAAAGAGAATGTAGGTTTACTGAGAGAACTCTACTCTTCTGAGCGTTCCTGTTGACTCTTGGACAACATTTAGATTCCAACAAGCAATGTCCGCCAGAGGCATCAGGAGCAATCTGACTTTTCTTAATCATTTCAGATACGTGCACTTAGATGTCTTTCCTGCCCAAAGTGCTCCTAACAGCAATCTGTTAGCTACATGAAGAGTTAAGAACTCAGCAGCGTTAAGAACCAAGACAAACTGCTTACAGGTCATGGCTTTGTCTGCTGCTGATGTGCACCACTAAGAAAACAGATTAAGAACAAATGAAAACTTGAAGACAATTGACAACATACAGTCAAAAGTGAGCATAACTAACTAGCTTGCTGTTTTGAGTTCTCATGACTGATCAGACCGCAGCATGTAAGCTCTCTCTTGTGAACCATTCTGTTTTTTTTTTTATTCTTATCTTGACAAGAGTAAAAATAAAGGAAGTTGGACTGCAGCAAATTATTTTATGACCTAACTGCTCTACAAGTCAGAGATCAACTGTCTCTTTGCCAGTAACAATACTGTTTTCCTAAAGTAACCGTGTGCCTCTTCTAAAATGTACCCACTACTAAATTTCCAAAGAGTTAATCAAGGGCTTCAGTTCAGCTTAGCTGGCAACCTCTCCCAGCTAACAAAACTTGGATCTTCTTTCTTGCGACTTAGAATTTTTTTCTCTCTCTGGATATCTGTGCAAGGTAGACAGACCCTACTCTTGCCCTCCTTCTATAGCACCCCCTATGCTAATTCCTTTACAGCGATCTTAAATCCTCCTGGCATCTACATCTCTTCAGCAGCACAAGGCTGCCTGATCCCATCTTTGCTTGCTAGCCATTTTCCTTCTTTCTTTCTCTCTTCAACTTCAAGAACTTCTTGCAACCTTCATAGCCCATTTCACCTTCTACCCCCTCCAAGAGACTTTCTCTATCCATGAAAACACCTTATATGATCCTTTTCCCAGACTCAGGTTATCTCCCACAAGGGCAAGATACCAAATGAGGTTTGCCTTCTCCATTCTGTCACCAACACCTCCTGGCTGAAATTCTTTGAGGAGCATCCTATCTACATTAACTCAGCATTTGAATTATTCCCTAAAATTATTTCCACCCGTCTGTACCTGCTGCACGGACTTGGTGGGCCTTGCAATGTTAGGAAGGAAGGGGCAGACACTCTAATATTCCCCAAACATCCCCTGCTGTTGTTCAAATGGTTCTGTCTTGAAATGTGAACAGTCAAGGTTATTCCCAAAGCTGCTCATAGGCAAGAGAAGACTGTTCATCGCCAATCAAAGAAAGAAGGATGCTTTATGAACAGCGATTCCTTTCAGGCCACAGATTATTTCTGTGTCTTAGGAAGGCAGTAGAGTAATCTGTGGACTAATGTACAAAGTTGAACTGGACTGTGTGCATGTACTAAAATATGCCATGTGGTGCCTATAGTGAAAAGCAGTTCTTACCTTAAGAAGATAATCTCTTAGCAGGTCCTGAAGCTCACAAATCTCTTCTCTGCAAATAGATTAAGAAAAATAAAAAATTATTGTTGGGTTTTCAATGAATTGTTCTGGCCCTATAAATACCCCACATTTGATCATCACATGAACCTTAAAAGTCTACGGGATTTTTTATTATCTTTGCTCTTTTGGTTGATATGGCTTTCCCTCTCTAGCCCACCTCGCACCACCAACAAGACAGGAGTCATTAAGATACTAATCCAAATGTAAAGGCACTTATACGTTACTCAATATCGACTTCAATTAAGGTAATACTCTAAATGATATGCCATTACCAAAGGCTGAAGCAATGAAGCACACTAGACTCTGGAACTGCATGGAACTCCTCATTAGGTAGAATGAACATTTAGCTATTTTGAGGTAGAATTCCCAAACTTTCATTACTTGCACAATTATTTTTGAATCAGGTAAACAATGATGTAAGCAGAGAATGTTTACCATCTCAGAACATTAAAAGAGAATGGAAAACAGCTATATAGGAGATGAAGGAAAGAGCAAGTAAAGACTTTCTTAAGAGAACGTCAATTTTAGCAAGTTGCTTGTTGCTGGAAAAATCATGAACAGGAGATACATTTTCTCCTTACTCCAGAGGAAAGAACCACCATGGTTTATAACCACCACTTCATCACTCAGGTCCTGCCATAAGAGTCTTCCAGATACGTTGGACTACAACCCTCAAAACACTTACTAGGAGCTGGTATTACCACAGCCAGCACCCCAAGGATCTAGCACAGCTTTATCAGAGGAAAAAACAGGTTTTTTAGTCAAAATGTGTTCCATCAAGACCACATGACATTAAGACCAGATCATACCCAAGGTCAGTTTCAAATTCTACCGGGCACAAGAGATTGTGCCCCCAATTTCTGCCCAGAACAAGGGCAGAACAAAACTGGCACAAGCTAGATATGAAGAGGGCACTCTTCCTCTCCTATAAAACGAGGCACTTGGAGAGATGAGTTACATGACCCTCATCAGCAGTGGGTCAGGGAATCACTGCTCTGGCATACTCAGCCAGCAAAAAACAGCTCCACGCTAGTATCACAGTTCACTCGGCCAGAACACCCACCTCAACAGTTCCAACAATGAGGGCCCTGCTATCAGACACCTGTAGGATGGCAACCTGGGTAGAACCACTGTGTTCCTTAAACACTATGAGAGAGACACATTTGCCTTCTGACACACAGGGCTACAGAGGGTGATCTACTAACACTCCCTGGGAATGCTTCCAGAGTCCATTCCTTTCCTGCCAGCTCCATCTCTAATGACCAAGAACAGTAGTTGGACCCCTTTGTGAAGGACCTTTATGGCCACTGGAAAATTGATCCAACAGTCCCACCCTACTGAAAAGGGATTCAGAGACAGTTCAAGTGACCAAGGCTCAAATATTTAACTACTTTGCTATGTTTGCTAAATGTTACACACTCTTCTTCCACTCTGTTGTGTATCCTTGCTTGCAGCAAATTACATTCAAATCAGTTCCCGCAACTGAAGGGATGGGCTTCCTCTATGGGATAAGAAATATTCTTAAGCCCTGCCGTCTAATGAGAAGTGGGTTAACGTTTTCCTATTGGGTCCATCTTTTGGTGACCAGAAGTGTACTTTATAGGAAGGCCTACTAACTTCCACAAACTGGAACAAAGGCTGAGCATGGTTTGTCTAGAGATCTACTAAGAGCTTCCTATTTGATGGACTGATATTTCAGTTCCCCCAGCTGCCTTCTAGGTCACAGGCTCTTCTTCTGAGTGTTTCTCAGGAAAAACCCATCTAAGACAGCCCTCAAGATGTGGGGAACTGAAACTCAGAGAATTCCCAGCTGTGACAATCAGTGGCCAGGCCAGTTGGAATTGTCTGAGTTAATGTTCAACCCATTTGTAGAAGGCCATGTTGGATGAGTCTGGTCTAGACTGCTTCTTTCAAACAATTTATTTTACCCAGAGGAGAAGATCTATTCTCCTCACAATTATCCTACCCTGACAAAAGATGGAACCAAATACTATTCACCTTTTGGTTACCTATGATCTTCTGCCCGCGCTCTCTGCTAGCATTTAGACTTGCCATAGTATTAAATCAAGCAGATACACAATGACAGCCTGGTAGACTTACTTTCTACAGAGATACGGCTGCCAATTTTTGGACACAGCCCTGCTCTGAATCAAGTCTGTGCCCCACAGGGTGGATAAACACAAAATGTAAGCACAAAAAACAGGTCAGTGTCTTTTTTTAAAAATAATTTACAGCAGCGGTTTACTTTGAGGCCTAATATGACTTAAAGGATAATCTGAAATCAGTCTCCAAAATGTTAAAGTCAGTGTAATGTCTTAATTCACCCCCAAAAAATAGATATTGTTGCACATACTCCTGATTCTACAGGGGTGTGACCCAAAGGAACAAGCGAACGATGAAAAATACAACAGAAAGGGGTTTTTTCCATGTACAACAGAAATACACTCTGCTAAGTCTGTTAGAATTCACTCCCCAGTAAGCAAACATAAGAAAGCAACATAGGAATCTGGCTTGGTCTTTACGTTTCTCTTGAAAGTACTTTAAGTCAAAGTCTCCTAGCGTCTTGACGAGACCCTTTAGCAACCCCGGGCAACGTTACCATCCCATTTTAGGATCCCCGGCAATTAGAGGCAAGAACTGTTCAGCCCCAAAGATGCTGCTCTTTACTGCTTCTGTAGTTTCACTGTGATCATGACAGTCAAATATTCAGCTTTAAACTAAAACAAATTAGTGAAAATAATATTTACAATTTGCATCTCAGGGTGAAGCCACTCTTGCACAGCTGTTAGCGTGGCCTTCTGTGAGCTCGAAAATGCAGCTGGCTCTGTTTTGTTTGTTTGCAAAATGCAATTACACACACACAGACGAAGGAGAGAAGAGGGGGTTGTGGACCATCAACTGGAAAGCTTCTGCATCATATTCTTTTGCACCTTGAAATCCACTCTACCAACCTGACTGGCTGGGCAATGCCTACAAGACGATAGGCCCAGTCCGTGCAAGTTGAAAATGAAAAAAATTGAATCACACAGTCTTGCTTAAAATTTGAGTTTCTCTTCTTTGGGGATCCACAGTGTGCAGTGGGTCCTTTCATGGTCTCTGATGTATCCTTGAAAACCATACTGGTTATGGTTAATTCAGTTTAACAGCCAACTTTAGAATGAACTCTTGTCCCGTGTCCACCAGAGAGAGCTTTCTGCCTTACCAACATCAGGCACATCACACTGTTTACCAATACACAACAAATGGAGCTTTAAGGCTCACAACTTTTAGCGGAACCTAGAAGGTTCAGCCAACAGAAAGAGCACAGCAGGGAAGAAAATGATCCACAGTGGGTGAGGCACCCAATCAAGGCATTTTATTGCAAGGCGCCCCAATTCTGCCAAGGTCACTGCCAAGGGAGGCGTCCGGGAACCTCTGCCACAGGAGGAGAAGCGAGCCAGACTGCTCCTTAAAATCTGATTCCAGCCGCTTCCAACAGACCATCCAAGAATTTCCCTTAACTGCTAATTTGGTAAAATTAAACACCCCCTCGTTGCTATAAGCAAGGCTGAAGAGGTAAATCACAGCTCTTGTTTCTAAGACATAAAGGCTTTTTTATGGCAGGCTTGCCTGAATGATGTCCAACACTGACCTCACTGGGGAATATCTGGGGAAAGAAAGTCAGGAAGAGACTCCCACTGCTTACTCCCCAGCAATCTCAGTTCTCATGAATTTAAGACCTGGAGTTTAAAAACCAGCACACACAATTAGGAACCAGAGCAGTGAGAAGCAAAGGACAGCTTCTATAGGCCTGAAATTAAAGGCGATGACCCCTTCTCCTTTTTAGCAAATGCACTAGAACAGAAGCAGAAGAGGATGGCAGCAAATGGGAAGAAGGGAAGAGGCGTATGAGCCTCAGAAAGTAAGACCTTGAGACTGGCTTCAGACTGTCCAGTCCTGCCTTCGGTGGCTCACAGTCACCAACTGATGTGTTTGGGAGGCTCACACATCTGGACTGGAGGACAAGATCTGCCTCTCCCTGTCCCTTCCCAAAAGCCAGGATTTAAGATATGCTTAGAGGCAAGGAAGAGGTGCCCAGATTTGTAACCCCTGAGAGCCTCCATGGACTTCTTCACCCCCCTTTTAAAACTCTACAAACTGGCTACCATCGCAACTGCTGGCAACAAATGCCAAACTTTAACTGGGGGCTTTGTGAAAAAGAAATACCTACATTTACAGTGGAACCTCGGTTTACGAACTTAATTCGTTCCGTGACTCTGGCTGCACCCCAAATTGGTCGCACCCCGAAGCAAATC